CCCCCCCCCCCCCCCAGGTCCTTCTCTTCCTTTTCCTCGGGGCAGTTTTCCAGCCGCTCTGCCCAAGCCTGTGGCATTGTGTGGGGTTGTTGTGACCCAAGAGCAGGACCCGGCACTGAGCCTTGTTGAACCTCATGTGACTGGCCTGGGCCCGTCGACCCAGCCTGGCCAGACCCTCTGCAGAGCCTTTCTGCCCTCCACAGATCAACACTCCTGCACAGCTGGGTGTCATCTGTCATCACAGGACCTGCTGACATCACTAACCCCAAATCAGCCAGGACCTGTATGAACCTGTAAAGAGCAACACAGAGAACATAAACCATGGAACTGGTGCTAAATAAGCGGAGGAAATCCAATCAGAGTTGATCACTGTTTCTGCCACTGTTTGAGACGGTCAAAGGCCTGGACCTTGCATTAGAGAAACTGATTCCTGAGATATTCTACATGGCTCTGGTAGATGACCCCCACAGGTCAGAGCTGGCCTATACAATTTCAAATGGAAAGAGTGATGAAAGCTCTGGTCATGAGAGACTACTAATTACCCAACTCTGAGACCTGTAATGAGGTTACAGTGCTGTTCAGCACGTGTGTGGGGAGGAAGGGATAACCAGATAACCTGTTCTGTCATGGGTCCCAAGCAGAGATAGATACAGTGATGAAAACACTAAGAAAGGGGCCGTCATGCTGCAGCCATTGGCTATGCTGACTGCTGACCTGTAGGGAACTGGCCAACCCATCATCAGACACTGTGTTTGGGTTCCTCTGCTTGACCACTTGCCAAGGCAGCCTGAAAACACTGCTACAGCATCCAGCTTTAACGTGAAAGGAAGAATGTTACCTTCCCTCTTTTATCTGCTGCAGAGCTGAGTTAATGAATCGTTTCAGTGGGCTTTGGGTGAAGATTTATAATTGCAGAATCAGAAAAACAGTCTGGAAAGGATCTTCTAAACTATTCCCTCGTACCAAACTGGACTGACCCGTCTAGAGCTGTTCTTAAAGATCCCCAGTACATATGATCTCTTCTTTTTCTTCCCTCCCCACAGAAGTTGTTATGCTGTAGTAGAAGAAATTGCATTGGTCTTTGACAAATCTATCTGGGAGACAAATAGCAGCCTGTTCTTTTCCAAACTCTAACACATTCTTTATGCATTCCAGAATCTTACTAGAGCTTGAAGTTAAGATTGTTACATTCTTTCTTTTCTCGAGGCACACACACTGTTTTCTCTTCTTCAGGCTTTTCTCGTGTGAGATGTTGGCTATCAATTAATTCACTGAGTTTACCGAAATCTTTCTTTGCTTAGGAGAAGCGTAAAAAACAGGAAAACAGAAACAACAGACTAAGGGTCACAAACAGACAACCACTACCACCCAAATTGCCCTTTACTTTAATATTCTCAAAAAGCTATACCTGTCAGCTACAATCAGGTCTCGCAGAGCTTCCCTTCCTGTGGCTGTCACCATCTTCTGTACAAAGAACGTCAGCAACATGTTCCACAAACCTCCTGCACCAATGCGAGATACCTGGGCAGAGGCAACCTCCCACCGCCATGCACTCGATGATTCCACTTGGTCTTACTGCCAGGCAGCCTGGAACAGAAACGGTAGTGCTTAGTTTTCTTCCCTTTCAACAATCACACAAATTGCCTAGAAAAGATCCTCCTACAGTCTCAAAGCAAGTACACTAATCCATGACAGGAGACAACATCTCTTCTGTTTCTCCTGCCTGTTATTCCTCAGAAGTTGCACACTGCTGTGTTATAATATTCCAGTCATAGTGATCATCCAAACAGTCTCTACTGTACCACAGTTAAAATGTGGGTCATGATTAAAAACTTCAGATCCACTTGTTTATTCTTTCCATTTCTCACAAAAACATAGAAAAGTTCACAGGACCAAGCCACTACTGTTTTTTTCACATTGTTGGAAGTAAACCTCTTTGCTCCTAGATTTTCTTAAGTCTGCTTTGCTCCCTCCTCCTGAACGGTAACTGCAAACAGTTCACGACAAAGTTAAAAAGGCTCTGTCCCATCCACCATTTTTCTTAAGCTCCTCCAAATATTAGACTTTGATTAGACTTCAAGCCATGGTGAGAATGATTTTTCTCTCCTCCTTAAGCACAAAGTAAGAGCCTCTGGTGTTTGTGGACAACTTGTTCACATTCAGAACTCTCTCACTCCCTGCAACAAGCAGAAAGATGGATCTTTTTCAAAGCCCAAGAAGAGCAGGGCACTGCTGAATTGGATCGTGAATACTTAATGTGTTTGCACAATTTTTACCCTTCCTGTTGGGCTTTTCGGGCAGATAGGGTACGTCTCTACTCGTGCAAACAATCGACCTACAAAATTTTCAGATACTAACGCTCTAATCGTTACTTTTCCCCGGGTTAGTCTGACCTCAGGACACAAACTACCAAAGCAGGATCCGCTCAAGAGCAAGCCGGGCTGGCCAAGCACGGGCGGGCGCTCGGCACTGCCGACATCCAGGGCCCTGCCAGGGCAGAGCCAGCGCCGGGCCGACACTGAGCAGGGTCCTGCCCGCGCTCCCTCGCCCCCCGCCCAGCGCCGAGGGACCGTGTCCCGGCCCCTGGCAGCGCTCC